TCTTCACCCCCTTCCATGAAGTCCTTGTTTGTTTCTGCCAGGGATGGGGCAGTAGAGTCCCAGAGAGATTTTTTTTTTTAATTTAAACTACCATTTTTTAGTGACTTTCGTTTCAATGGCCCTTTACCCATTTTTGAAACTGTTTATTTATTTAGTCATTTTTCCTTTTCTGATAATGAATGTGCACTTATGAAAAACTTGAATCTGTTGATTGTGGTCTTAAAGTATTGTTAAACTCACAAAGAAGTTGTATTGTTTTTCTTTTATCAGCAGTAAACATCCTTTGGGGATTTACTCTGTTGGATAAGCACTGGGCTGCAAGGTCAGTTGGAACCATAAGGTCAACAATTCAGCCTCACCAGCAGCTCCTAGGAACCCTAATACGGGGGTCGCTGTGAGTCGGAACTGACTTGACGGCACTTAACAACGACAACAAGTACTAACGCTCCCCTGACACAGTGGGGCATCTTGGGCCAGGTCTCAGAACGCAGGCCCAGGAACACAGGCCCGGTGCTGCTCCTGGTGTGTTTCTGCACACAAGGGTGGGAACCAGATGCTCAGCTGAGCTGCTGCGCGTGCGCCGTGGGCCGGCCTGACCAGCCCCAGGAGACAGAGAGCACACAAGCTGGTGCTCAGCTCCTGGCACGAGTCCTGTGCCCGGTAGGCATGCCGGAGCCACCGCTGCCAGGCTGAGGAGCTCGATGCCAGGAAGATGGTCTCTGAGCCGAGGAGAGGGACATGACCTACTCATGATGCCCGTTTCCTTTCCCTAGGAAAGTCCGAGATGCCACTGGGGTGGACATCAACATGCGAGTGGGCGTGCACTCTGGGAATGTGCTCTGCGGCGTGATCGGCCTGCAGAAGTGGCAGTACGACGTGTGGTCACATGACGTCACACTGGCCAATCACATGGAGGCTGGAGGGGTCCCCGGGTAGGACGGAGCACGGGATCCCCTCTCCTGGGTGGCATCAGGGGGTGATTGCTCTCTCCCCGTTCCTCCT